CACAATAAAATCATTTCCTTACACCCACTGAAACATGCATCAATAATTGAACTATAACACAGCACATTTCGTGAGTTACAATATGGTTAAAAGCACAGAACCTTTTATTTTGCTCCCTTTTTTATGTCCCATTTAAGATAAGAGAGATGTCTGTTCATCTCACAATTAACATGAAAGTTGCTCTTAATTAATAAGACAAAGCTGTGTATAGAATCAGTATGAACAGTACAGGCGATATTTGGATCCAAGATTTTGCGCCTTCTCTTATTCCATTTTAATTTCAATAGTTTCTTTCTGAGGATCATCTCTTCCGTAGAAAGATCTGTGTAAAAAAATATAGTGGTTCATGTTTAAAATCCTTTGTTTTGTAGTTCCAGAAAATAACACTGTCAGAGAGAATAATAATCTATGAAGTCTGTATAAGCACAGAAGAACAGTACAATCTCATTTTTTCATCTTTTTTTTAAAGGTACATTGTGTAACTTTTCTGGTAGATGGTCCATCAAATGCTTATCTCCACGGAGATATCTGAAATGTTTCACATTATGGTATTAAACCTTTCTATCTTCATGGAGACCAAACCAGACAAAGTTACAGGTAGTTTGGGACTTCCGGTTTAGCGACTGATGGAGTAGGATATTTATATATATATGTGTGTGTGTGTGTGTGTGTGTGTGTGAGTGTGTATATATATATATATATATACACACATATATATATATATATATATATATATATATATATATATATATATATATATATATATATATATATATATATATAGTTACAGAAAATAACATAATCAGAGAGAATAACAATTACAACTTAACGTCTTTGTTTTTAATTAATGAAATTGGAGAAGAGGGACACTTACACAAGTTTGATGTTTTTTGCTTCAAGCATTTCCCTGGAGGCTATTGTATCAGGAGTATTACTGTATTTGTCTGACAGGTAAAAAACTTTTTTTACACCTGAAATGATCAAAACATGAAGATTGCTTTAATATGAAATATGTGTATATTTCAGTACACTTGAGTGCACCAACCTGCCCCAATGACAAGTTTGGCACAGGCACTGCAGGGAAAAAGGGTCACATAGATGGTGCAGCCTCTCACATCAGTGCTGCTGAGAATGGCATTAAGCTCTGCATGGCACACTGAAAAAAAAAAAAGAAAAGACAAATAACTATAAAGATGAAAAGACATGTGGTGTTAAAGGCCCCTGCCCCCATATAGCCAAGGTTACATGCCACTACAAAGAGCCTGCCTCTCACCTGTCTGTGTGTCTGAGTTGATGGTTATACTATGTACCACATAGTATACTACCCCAATGAATGAGAGACTTTCGCACTGTGATCATTCTCATCCATTGGATATCTAAAATATCTTTTCACTTACCATACAAATACTTATTATCATCAGCCTGAGTATCACGAACCCAGGTATACTTGTCATTATGATTATTGGGCATCTGGTTGTGACCAACTGCAACAATCACTTTGTCATCCCTCACAATGCAGGCCCCCACCTGCACACACAGGAACCAGCTCTATGTTTATGTTTGTCACAAAATTTGTTCAATGTCAAGAGTCAAAAGTTAAATAAGTCATCCTGTCCATCTGCAGTTATGTAGTAGCAATAGTGATTAGCAAATGAATATCTGAAATGGAGTGGTACCTGTGTGCTGGGATCTCTGCTTTTCTGTGCTGTCAGGACGGCCACAGCCATGAAATAATCAGACTCAGGAGTTCTGCAAAATAATATGAACAAATAAATAAATAAACACTTGAAACACAAGTTTCAACTTCACTATTGCTCAATACAGGTTCACTACCTGTTCCGGACGGTTTGTTCAGTTGACTCTTCATTTGGAAATGTAAGGGTAATAGGATCCTTTCCGCCCATGTACTTCCTTTATGAAAAGAAAAAAAATGAAAGTAATTTTCATAAATGAATGTGGGATGGTATTATTTGACCTTGTCATTTGCAATTGGTAGACACAAATCCGCATGAGATGAGGGGTAATTTGTTGAGTTTGCATTATTTGTTCACATTTTTTACTAAACATTATTTCATTGTCATCAGTTATATCACTTCAACTTAAAAGCTGTGATTGCACCAAATGATGATAATTACACTAAACTGCAAAACAAAGTATATCACAAGATTGTTCTCTCTGATAAGATCTTCATAATGAACATGCAACACAGGCACAGGACAGGCACTGCAGGGGATAGAGTGCCCCGGGGCAGTTGTGGTTTGTCCTCCCGAGGTGATGGGGTCTTGTATTTGTATTTGTATTTGTATCTGTGTTTAACAACCACAGTTTGTTGTTTTTGTTTTGTTTTTTACTTACTCGCAGCAAACATTTTCTTTCCTGAGCATTTTCCCTGAAGCTTTGACATTTCTGTTTTCTGCAGTCTCATTTTCAGACAGATAGACAACATGCCTGATACCTGGAAATACAATCATTTTGAGCAGGACAGTATAATAAGTAATTAGAAAGTAATTAGTATCCGCGCAGTATTAATAGGCACTATGGCACAAAAAAGTACATATATCTATACCCATTTGCACTACATCCAAGTGTTTATTGAAAATCAAAGTGATTGTTCGATTGATAGTCCCAGTTTAGTGGGAGATTCACCTGATTGGATCATGACCTTGACACACTCGTTGCAGGGAAACATAGTCACAAACATAGTGCAGCCGTGAACATCTGCAACTTTCATGATGGCATCAATCTCTGCATGATATTCTGTGAAGCAGGTGACATTTGTCATAAAATCCATGATAACAAACTCAGACTATTGAGAATGTAATATTAGGGATATTTTCTAAAAGAGATCTAAGAGAAAGATGCAGCATCTCACCATGCCTATTATCATCACCACGGCCGTCAAGCACTTGGCTGTAGCCAACAGCAATAACTTTGTTGTCCTTCACTATACAGGCACCCACCTGCACACAGGGGCACCATCACATCCCTCATTTAAAATATGTTTCTTTTATTTGTATTTCATAATGAAAGTATAAAAACCCAGCACCTGTTTGTCAGGATCTGTGTTTCTCTGGCCTGTCAGGAGGGCTAAGGCCATGAAATACTCATAGTCTTCCAGGTAGTCCTGTCTGTTTCAACAAAAATCACAACATTAAATATAAAACAGTATTACATCATCATATCATCATGTTGTTCTCAACAAAATAGTAAAATAGATACCTGCTGACTGTAGTGGCCATAACTTCACACTTGTGTACCTGTTCAGACTCTTATAATAAACCATCAGCGATGTGCTCTTAAATAGCTTACTGTTGGGCAGCAGACCGCAGACCCGCCTTCAACACACCCAGAGAATACCTGTTCTCCTACATGGCCAGCAGGTGCAGCTGTATGTGAATCCATTGTGTTATAAATTTGTGTGTAATAATTCTGTAATAAATACCTAATAATAAAAAAAAGAACCTTTATTTGTGCGATGACTGTGTGAACAACAACAGTACGGAGAAAGGAGGAAAAAAACAACATCCAAAAAACCATTGAGAAAAACTGTAAGTCTGCCATATCAACATGTTTGTTATTTGAAAACTAGAGCCTATTTTACAAAAAAATTAATAAATAAATATTGTCATTTAATTTTACAATTCATTAAATTTTAAGCTTCTTATTTTTCCCCCATGGAAAGGTGTATGTGTTGCCCTTTACAGACACACACCTCTTTTACTTCTTTTCCTCTCTGGACATAAATGTGTTGTTAACATTTCACTAACAAATGGACAAAACATTTTTACAGGGTGTCACTTTTACTTTTACTACACAAATTAAGTGTCCAGTGTCAGTATCCCAACAAACGCACCCTAGAATCTATGAAGTCTGTATAAGCACAGAAGAACAGTACAATCTCATTTTTTCATCTTTTTTTTAAAGGTACATTGTGTAACTTTTCTGGTAGATGGTCCATCAAATGCTCATTTCCACAGAGATATCTGAAATGTTTCACATTATGGTATTACACCTTTCTATCTTCATGGAGACCAAACCAGACAAAGTTACAGGTAGTTTTAGGTATGTTTGAGTGATAAAACCAACTGTAGTTGATTGTAAAGTAGAGCTGTTTAATGTCTTACTGTGGAACATTCTAGGCAGAGCAATGACATAGCCATAGAAACAAGCAGGTGAAGGACCCCCAACCAAAAATGCACCTTTAACATGGTCCCTGTTCCAATTATCAGTCATTGTTGTTAGTTTTGTGCCGTTTTTATTTGTGATTTAAGTTGTAATTGAAGACATGTCAGAGATTCTGTTTGAAAATGTTTATTATAAAGGTCTTTTACATGTAAGCCAAGTGCTGCACGTACACAATTAAAATCATTCCCTTACACCCACTGAAACATGCATGAATAACTGAAATATAACACAGGAAATTTAGCTACTGTGTGTCAGAAGTGCAAGCAAACATTCTTTGCACTTGTAGATAAAAAGGTCAGTATTAAATATTATGTAATTTTCTGATCTATGTTATAATGTCTCCTCAACAAAAACAGAGTTGTGTTTGGTTTCATTCACACATGTTTAACACACAAACACTGCATATTCAGAAAACATACAGCTCCAGCTTGTGATGTCATGGAGTAATATAGGGAGTGCTCCACTGTGATTTTAAACTCCATGCACCTTCACTAGAATCATTTCACTAAAAACTAGCCTGATTTATATACTAAGCAAGAAATTTAGTAGTTACTTTCATTGTCCCTGTTGGGCCGGTACACTCTGCTGAATCAGAACAATTTAACTAATTTTAAAGCAGATATTATATCAAATTTAAGTGAATTATGTGGTAAAATTTACTTTTCACCTACTTTTCTTCCATCACATCTACAGGTGGACATGGAAATGTGTTGTTAATATTTCACTAATGAATGTATACAAACATGTGCACATACAGGGTGGTGCTTTTACTTTTCATGTTTATTCTTTTGCAGTTCATATGACCATGCAAATATCCCAACAAACACATCCTATAATCTATGAAATCTGTATAAATCAGCGTGCAAATAAGAACAATACAATCTCATTCTTAAAATGAAGCAAAAACCAGCCTAAATTAGGCAAGGCAAGTTTATTTGTATGGCACAATTCATGTGTGCTTTACAGAATAAGAAATACATTAAAATCATAATAAAAACAAATCAAAACATAAATAATCATGAAGATTAAAATTAAAAAAGAGAGACATAAATTGGAGAGAAGAGTGCGGAATGAAAACCTTTCAGTTATATGCACAGTTAAACAGAAATGTTTTGAGCCTGGATTTAAACAGCATCACAGAAGAGGCCTGTCTCACATGTCTCAAATTATATACTCGACAGCTAAAGAAATTCGATTGCAGATCAGAAATTAAGTTAGACATTTCTTTCATCATCAAAGAAACATTTTAATGATGAAAGGTTATAGTAACAAAGAAAAGCTATTTTTCCATGACAGTTTTTCAAATGCAACGTTCACCCGGTTTTGGATTCTTCATTCTGTGCTGTTTGCTACATCTGTCATCCAAAAATATGACCAAAGTCTCCTCATCTGGTTCATAAGGCCTGTTGAAAAAGTAAGAAAGCTTTATCAGTCTGTAAAAGTTGTTGCTATATAGTTTAGGAGCAATATGATTGGCCATTGTACTGAATGAGGAGGTGTGGTGGTGCATCATTTTGTTAGAGACTCACTTGTGTGTGTTGCCAAGAATTTTTTTTGCCTTTTTTGCATCCTCACGATGACCATATTTGTCTGACCAGTAAACAACAGTTTCTACCTCTGAAAGTTTAAAATGAGAGTTACACGTGTTTCCAAGTCACCTTCACCAGTTCTGTGTGTAGAGATTTCAGTAGACTTGAGTGCACCCACCTTTCCCAACAATGAGTTTGGCACAGTGACTGCAGGGGAAAAGGGTCACATAGATGGTACAGCCTCTGACCTCAGTGCTGCTTAGGATGGCATTAAGCTCTGCATGGCACACTAAGATGGTTTTGGAAAATTAATAAAAGATGTAATGATGAAGAGATTGTGCTTTTTTTTTTTTTTTACCATAAAAATGTTTGTTATCCTTCGTTAGATCACGATCCCAGGTATAAGTGTCAAAATTATCATTAGGCATTTGATTGTGACCAACAGAAATCACTTTCTCGTTGTCTCTCGCAATACAGGCCCCCTCCTATATGTACAATAACAAGAGTAACTCACAACGGAAGTTTTATGCACATGCAATTGAAAAAGGCATATTTAATTACAATTGATGGTACCTGTGTGTTGGGATCCCCGCTTCTCTGTGCTGTCAGCAGGGCCACAGCCATGAAATAATCTGAGTCAGCCATCATTAATGTGCTGCAGAAAAAAACATAGTATAAAAATATAACACAATGTAAAGCCTGTATGAACAAATAAAGACCATAGAGCACATTTTGATGTCACTTTATAAATGAGATTCTTTATATTTATTTAAAAATATAAGCACTCAAATGCAGTTGACTAAAGCCTCTCCCACCACTGGTACCTGTCCTTTTTTTGTTTCTTGGTTGGCTGTTTTGTCTCTTCTTGTGTACATTTGATGACAATGTCATCCCTTTGGGGCTGGTATTTCCTGTGTGAATCAGAAAGATTAAACGCATTTTAAAGCAGCTATTATGTAAAAAAAAAAAAAATGTCAAAATGAACTAATGTATGGTAAAATCACTTTTGACCATGTTACTTGCATAGTAATAACTGGCTAGACCTATTTATGAGTCCTTGCTTCAATATCTCGAGGTTTGATCAGCTGATTTAAACAGATTTCTGTTTAAATGTGTGTCTAGTTGTTTTACTTACTTGTAGTTAGTTTCTACCATGAGCATTTTCTTTGAAGAATTAGTTTTATTTGTTTCTTCAATAGGATTATTGGACAAATAGATGACACTCTTGATTCCTGAAGTAAATATTAAAGTATTTTGGCATTAAAAGCCATATCAGACATGCTGAACATATACTTATTAGTTCTACAATTAATCATTCTTGAAAAATGTATTTAGTGATTGTCACCCTTAATTTTCCCACCTGCCTGGATGATGACCTTCATACACTGGCAGCATGGAAACTCAGTCACAAACATAGTGCAGCCGTGAACATCTGCACCTTTTATGATGGCATCAGTCTCTGCATGATATTCCACCTGGTCCTCACTTTCCGTCGGGGGTCGCCCCTGCTGAACATCTGCACCTTCTATGAAACAGAGGACATTTATCCTATACAGATCTAGTTTAACACACTCAAAGTAAATGCTCAAAGGGATCAAATAGGGTCATCACCCTTGACCACTTGGTGGTAGCCAACTGCAATGACTTTGTTGTCCTTCACTATGCAAGCACCCACCTGCACACAGGGACACCATTAAAACATAATTAAAAGTTAATTATGTTTTGTTTGTTAGATTCAGCATTGTAGTTCAAATATAAAAACACACAGCACCTGTTTGTCAGGATGTGTGCTTCTCTGGCCTGTCAGGAGGGCTAAGGCCATGAAATAGTCATCATCTCTCAGGTAGTCCTGTCTGGGTGTCCATTGCTCAACAGGCTCACTGTTTAAATAAAAAAAAAAATCACATCATTAAATACAGAACAATATTACATTATCATATCATCTTAACAAAATAGTAAAATAGATACCAACCTTATACTGGCCATAACTTCAGCTGACACTTGGTTTATTACAAGAGCCCGTACAGGTACACAGGTACACACAGGGATGTGCTGTTAATTAGCCTATTGCTTGGCAACAGACCACATACCCGCCCTCAAGGCGCCCAGAGAATACCTGCTGTTGGCCAGGTAGTTAAAAGTGCAGACGTATGTGACTCCACTGTGTTTAATAAATAACTGATAATAGAAAAAAAGAACCTTGATTTGTCCGATGACTCTGTGAACAACAACAGTATGGAGAAAACAACATCCATACTAAATAGGTATTATTAAATACTAGAATAAAATATAATGCAAGTAGAAATTATGCATTAATGTTTAACTGTGCCATCTAAAATAAACATGTTTATTTAGTTTAAGTGAATTTGATGTAAACCAAACTATACACCAGGGCTGTTGTTGAGACTTTTCAGTGTTACACAGAACGGGCAAATCTTCACCATTCTGTGGTTAGAGAAATGTGCAACCTTTTCAAAACCTTTCCATTTACAATTATGCGGTCCAAAAAGTACACTATTCCAGCCATATCTAATCACATATTTTGACAAAATATCTTGCAAAATAGTGTACTCTGTTTTGATATTTGAATGTCTGTAGAAAAATGAATAACCCACACATAAGTACAATATAAGCTCATTCCAAAATAAAAGTGGAGTTTAATAACTGGTAGCACTGGTCTAACTGGTGCAGAGGGTAAATGCGTAAGTAACCTTCAGAATGAGGGTGTATAATCACAAAACATGTGTATATGTATACTCATTATATGTGGGCTTGAGATGTACAAGAAAAGGAGATCAGTTGTCACAACATTAAGCAAAAAAAAAAATAAAAAATCAAAACAAAGCATATTTAAAGAAAAAAATATATTTTTTTGTGACCTAGGCAATTTATTGACAATGTGGTGTTTAAATCTGATGCCATTTCACACACGGTTGACATACAATCTGTTCAAAATATCTAGTATTTAAAGACAGTGATACCACATTTAAAAACAAATCAATTTTCTTTCACTAAACCAAAAAGTTCACATTAATTGTGTATTTGCAACACACAACACACCAGAACTGTGTTTGTTGTTTCAACCAATGTAATCAATACAGCATTCTTTATTATACCTGTATGAATTGGATAGATAAAAACTTCAAAGAAAATTCCAGCTTACCAAATCAACGTAAAAAAAAAAAAAAAAATAATAATAATAATATATATATATATATATATATATATATATATATATATATATATATATATATATATATATATATAAGCACGAAGCTTATAACAAGGGGGTTGGGCTTTTGTGGATAACTTGGGACATTTGCTCAAGTCATTCACAGGCTCTCAGACAATGTAGATTTCTGATGAGGAAAGATTCAGAAAATTCCAAAGATGCCTCTAACATTTTATTCACGCATCAGTGCTATTAAGATGAGTTGTCTAACAAGGCTTTTTTCTGTTCTATGATACCTAATGGAAAAAAATTCACTCCCTAATCTGCAATTTGGTTTGGAGTGATAAACCCAGAGTGAATTTGAGCTCTCTCTCAATATACAAAAGTCAAGGAGGACTGGGTGTCCCTAATTTACAGTGGAATTATTGGTTCTTCATTATGTGATCCATTTCCAAATGGATCACATAATGGAAATCTCAATGCAGCCTCAAAAGTGTCTTGGAAAGAATTTGATTGAATTCCTCATAGACTGAAATACAAGTATACCTGTTAAACAAATGACTTGCAAATTCGGACCAATGATAACATCTTTTCCTTCACAAACAACAAATGACCTTTCTTTCTGCATTAAAAGTCTGTGCAAGCATATATTGAAATTAATACATGTGATTCTTGTACTAAACTAAGTTTATTAGTTCATAGGCCTATTTCGTTTTTTGGTCAGTTCTTCTGGATGCATATAAAATGTGAAAAAGGCCCTAATTGCAAACACAGTATTGGTGAAATGTTGGTTTGATTAAAATAGCATTGGTTTGCTGCTGAAGCAGTAACAGAACTGCATTATTCTGTGCACTTGTAGATTAAAAAAAAATCAAACGTTTTATTATCCAAAAATGACATTACTATTATTCTTTCCATTGTAATTTTTATTTTATATAACAAAATGATTTCCAAATGTGGTCTCACTGTCTGTATGGGCTGTAAGAATGAATACATTTTGGCTACGTTCAGACAGCAGGGCTTAACGCTCAATTCCGATTTTTTTATGAAATCCGATGTTTTTGCGAGGTCGTTCACATTTCCAATTAAATGCGACTTGTATGCGATCCCCTGTGTGAACAGTAAACGGCCCGAAAGTGTCCCGTATGCGCACTGGAGACACAATGACGTCAACCGCAGCGAGCGTGTTCTGTGTTTACGGAAGTTGTCCAAACATGGACGTGAGCATTGAGCACCTGGCGATTTTAAAGTTCCTCTCGTACCGGAGCCAGAACATGAACAACTTACTAGTTTTAAAGAGGAGATTGAGAAGGAGAAGGATGAGGTTTTTGGCCGTGGTGTTTTGTGGGGCAGCGGCAGCGACGTCTGCTGAAAGGAACGTGTGGATGTGGAGACGTAGCCGTGAGTGGTGATGTGCTTCGCTTCAGTGACATGGAGTTCATTAACAATTTTCGCCTACTTCAGTGCAGAATAGTGACTTGTTTGTGGCTTGTTGATAACGTGTAGGTCGGATGGATGCGCTTTGGCCGTTCACACTGAAGTCGCATGTCAAAAGATCGGATATGTATTGGTTTCAGGACCACATATCCAAGTGGATCTGTGTCGTTCAGACTGTCATTAAAAGATCAGATACAGGTCACATAGAAGCCAAAAAATCAGATTTGGGTCACTTCAGGCTGCAGTCTGAACGCAGCATTTGATGTATTTGCATGCATTTATGTTGATCATCTGTCCTTGTGCGTGACACGTCAATTTTGTCGTAGAGCCATGAAATTCGGTACACACATTCATCATGTGAAGACAAACAAAAAATATTATTATGACCACACCCCCTGACAAATCAGAAGGCGGTCATCTTGGACTGAAGTTTGAGTCCGCATTTTCGCTGACGTTGCGTTTGAACACATTCCTCTGAAGACGCTTCACCCACAGGGCTGAAAATCACCGTACATCATCTAGAGAAGTGGGGCATCTAAAGCTATGTAATTTATGTTGATAACTGTCACAGTTTATGTGCTTCGAAGCCGCAAATTTCCATCAGAAATTTGGATAATTTCAATCAGAAATTTGGATAATTTCAAGATGACATTATTTGCTCCTGTTCGCACAGACTTAATCTGATCGTGCGAAAATTTGAATCAGTAATGTGTGATCTCAGCCTGAATATAATACACTATAAAACATATGAAAAGTGAACACTATAGCGCCCCCTACCATAGACATGAAACGTCAACATTATTGGATCTGCACCAAATTTGGGAATGAAATTCTCTGCATGATTACGAGCAAAAAAATATTTTATGGACATGGGGAATTTTTCACTGTTGGCCAGCAGGGGTGCAATGACTCCCCCCCAAAATATTCAAAATAATATTACTTGCACAGGCTTAGTCTGACTGTGCTGAAAGTTGAATCACTAATGCGTGATCTCAGCCTGAATATAATACACTATAAAACATATGAAAAGTGAACACTATAGCGACCCCTACCGTAGACATGAAACGTCAACATTATCGGAATTGTACCAAATTTGGGAATTCAATTCTATGAACAACTAGAAGCAAAAACATATATTACTGATATGGGGCATTTTTCACCGTTGGCCACCAGGGGCTGCAAAGACTCCTAAAAAAAAAAAAAATTAAAGGTGCACTATGTAATTTTTCTGGTGGAGGATGTGTTGGTGCACAAAGTTAGAAAAATGGCAGTGTTAGGGAGGAGTTCTGGTTAGGGTAGGGCTAGGGTTAGAGTTGGGACTATAGTTAGGGTTACAACTAGGGTAAAGTTTAAGGTTAGGGTAACATTTAGGGTTACGCCTAGTGTTAGGGTTTGGGCTCGGGGTTAGACTTGTGGTTGGGGTTTACAGATATTAGTATTAGTGTGGGGCGTGGCATTTGCGGGCGCGGCATTTGCAGGCATGGCGTGGGCTGGGCGAGGGCTGTTCAATGCCGCTTGTGACTTTAATTCTTTCTTTCTCTTTCTTTCTTTCTTATTATAAACTTTTTGGCTCGTGGGCCACAAAGGGTTCTAAAATTTTACGGAAGGGTCGGACCAGGAGGAGTAGAGAGAAAAAAATAACATGGGATATGTAGAAAACCTGTGCTTCAATTTCAATTGAAAGTCATTACAAAGCATTCCAACAAAATATCTGTCTTTCAAGTTCCACGGTGTTTAATATTTATTGAAATTACTTTTAAAACACTGGAATTAAATTGATAAAATACAGTTTTTTATTACTAACAGTTACTATTTTAAAGCACTGAAAGTTCTGTTCTCCTTCAGGATCTTATCATCATCACTCTCCTCCTGACTGTCTTTATTTCAAAAACGGTAGAAGATGCAGATCTATTTCTATTCAATGTGCGTCCCCAGAGCCAAAACTCAACAACGACCAAGGGAAGGACAGAACAATGCCAACGCCTGCACAGTTTATGCTAATTAGCCATGCAGTTTTAAGTTTCATTTCTGTAAAACGTAAACAAATGTGGCTAAGCTGAATTATATTATCAAACGGGCTGATGTGCTTATGGTTTATATGTTGTAAAGGTGACTTCATTTATGTGTTTATGTAACTTGTACAATGTTTGGAAATGTTGGGTTTGATCTGTGCAGTGGATCTTAACTCCTCACCGCTGGTTAGGACCTCCCGAGCTTCCTCTGCTAAAGGAGCTCAACCGGGATACTCCATTTGATCACGTACACAGGGATATGAGTGTCCCGGTTTCTCAGCATGCATGTATACGCAGTATCCCTAATACTGACAGAACCGGAATATGGCTAATAACTGGAATACTGATGTGCATGTATACGCACTCATGAGAACGTGCACTTGCACAACATTTATGTGCACACCTTAA